GGCCGCCCCCGCGGAGGGGAGCGGGGAGCCCGGCGTCCCGTCGGGGCGAGCAGCGCGGGCAAGCGCTAATGACAAACACATTGATTGGGACGGCGGGGGCCACCGCGCCGCATTCCTGCCGCGCTGGGGGCGGGAGAGACCCGCCGGGGCTCCGCCGAATAGCGGGGGGGGGGGGCACGTGGCTCCCCCTCTTCTCGCATCTCTTGCCGCCTTCACCCCGCTGCTCCCCCGTCCCTTCCCCCACCCTTTGTTTTTCATCACCTCTTCAAATCCCCCTTCCCCACCTCGCTCCCCACACCCGGGTAGCCTAAAATACCCTGAGATCCCAAGCGGGGGGACGAAAGCCCCCCCTCACCCCCCTCCACCCCGAGGCAACCCGATCTCCATCCCTGCGCGCCCCGTCTTTATTTTACACGTCTCAACGGAAAGGAAGATGCTGAATTTAGGCAGGACTGGTACCTGGAGCCTTTCCAGCAACGGGAACGCCAGCCCCACCGCATGCCCCCGCCGGACTGCTGGAGCCCACCGTCTCCCTGCCCTCGGGGAGGGGGCAAACTCTTCGCGGCCACCGTTTGGATTTTGTCAAGCGCGGAGGTTGCAAACTCGCCAGCCTCTGCCAGGCTGGAGTCCCCTGGAAAAGTCCTAGGAGCAAGTAGGAAATGGCTTTTTGGCCGTCGGCGGCATTGCTCAACATTTTTGGACGCGGATCCCGCAGCCCAGGAGCCGTTCCAGAGAACAGGACTTGGACAACTTTTTTTTTTTTTTTTTTAAATTTTTTTTTTTTTTTTTTCGGGAGCCAGCAGCGACAGATCTAGGGAGGCAGCAGCCGCCCCCCCCTCCCCCCGGGGGGCGCAGCCATCGGTCCCCGGGGCTTTCCCGCATCCCGGCGGGGAGGTGGCTAGTGGGCAGAGGCGGGGGCGATGCCCTGGCCCCCACCCCGCGCCGAAGGCACGTTTCCAGAGCCCCATCGACGGCATTTTCGCTCCAGCTCCCCGGTGCTCCTCCGGGGCCCAAAGCCGCACGCCCGGGGCGGACAGGGCACGGCCTCGCCGCTGGTGGGGACCGTCGGACACGTCCCTAGGGCTGCGGGCGGGTCGCTCTCCCTTGGTCCCACAGCTCCGAGGTGGGACACGATGTCTGCCGCCCCCCACTCCCGACGCCCAGACGCCCGAGTCCTCTGGGTCCGTGCTTCGCCCGACGGAGAGGGCTGAAGAAGGAGCCCTCGGGTGGCAGTGCCAGCAGAATTAGCCAGTCCCGGAGGGAAATAGGGCTTTGCTTTGCCCCTCTCCATCTCCCCGAGCCCGCTTTTCTTTTTCCTGGCTACCTCCCGTTATAAAAAAAAAAAAAAAAAATCCTTCCAACTTGGCAAAGGCTTTCCTATTGTTTCCCAGACAAACAGCGAAGTGGCTGGGAGTTGCCATCTCTCGCTAGGTTCCCTCCGTGTCCCGGGCAGCCCGTGACCCACAGCGGCTCCAACCGAGGGGACCGGGGACCGAGAAGAGGGAGCCGCGGCAGCGCCTCTTCCCCGCTCCCCGGGGGCTGCCGTTCCGGCTCCCCGCGGACAGGAGGGGTCTGCCCAAACCCTGCAGCCTGGTGGGGGCTGCAAGGGTGTGAATATAACACACAC